AGATGTGTCTGGAGGATTAACCTCGGGGGGGGGATGGCGGAATGTTTTTTCTTCCAAAGGCTTGCTGTTTGCTTCTGTGAAAGGATGAGGTTCATTGCCGTTCCGGGGAGCATGGTCCGCCGCTCCGGGGGCCGGGAGGCGTGGGGTGGGGTCTCTTTTTTTTTTTTTTGTCCTTTTGGGTCCGCAGGTTTGCTGGTGGGTACTATCCTTAGGTACTGCCGAAAAGAACAAACAACAAAAAAACTTCAACTCCAATTAACAAGAAACAAATAAAAGACACATAAATATCGAGAATTACCACATCACAATTGAGAGACGATAAACTTCTAAGACCCCAAGTTGGTCTCTCCTGGAAACGGAAAAACTTCCACCTGCACGGGGAATCATATCTTGTGTTTTGAAATAATATAAGACACTCTTGAACTAGTCCCCTTTCCCCCTTTATTCTTCCGTAGTGCTGTTTCTGGTCATATTTTAAAGGTCTCCGGCCCCCCCCCCCATCCGTACCCATTCTGAGCCGATTTGGACAGTTCAGAATATGCAGGAAGCTTTGAAGGGCAATCCCGCATCACCCGCACTGTGGGTTGTGGTCCTCCAATCCATTTTCGCATTGAGGTAGCTCTTGTTAGACCTCATCAGGTGCAATATTCCTCTCTGGGATATCCGGATGGCCATGAAGTTCCATCATCCCTGTTCAGGTGGTTTATACTGGCAGTAGGATGAGCAACTCACTCTCCTTCTCTCTGCTCCCAACCTATTTCTTCACGAACCCACTCTCTCGTTTCCGCATAGGTTTTAGTGCTGTACTTGGGATCAAGACCGGATCGATACCAGCTTTCTCAAAAACCTTCCTCCTGTCGGTGGGTAGCCGGAAATCTCCTAGTATCGGGAAAGCACTCAGGAGCGTGGCTGTGGCGATATTGTTCTCAGGTATGGTGGTGGCTATCCTTACCGGGGTTATCATTGATGCTTGTATAGCGCTGTATACAGTGACATCGGGTCCAGTGAGAGGATGGGATTGGGAGTGAATATGATATATCGTGTGTCACTGGGGGTTAATTTCAAAGTCTGGGTATGCCTTGTAAACTTCCTGTACCAGAACATTAATCCATATAGAATGCCGGGTGTCATACTCCCCCGATCGATGGGGTTGCCCGGAATATCGTATCAAGTTTGACCGTTACAGGTATAAGAAAGATTTATTTTGTGGAAAAGACACCTGTTAGAAGGGCAAGTGATTGGCCTCTATAATATTGGGTATCATTCCACAGGTAGCAAACCCTGGTTGTCAAAGACACGATCCGGGAATTAATCGAGGAATCCCGGGAGGGCTGTAGCCTCAATGTTTGAGATGTTAGCCAATTAACTGGTATCGAGTTGGCTATATATACCCGACAGCGGGGAACAGTTGCTCGCTTGATGGTGTGTGCATGGAAGCCAGAGCCAGCGATGTTCCCTGGAGAAGCATGTTGCGTGATGCGAGAAAACAGGGAGGAGAAGGAGCTCTCTAAATCCACCCACCACCAAAACTTCACACTCATGTCCCGTAGCGGGCCTCAAACTTGAGAAAACAAATTATGATATAGTGCCTCGCAGGCAAAGTAGAGCTGGTGGTAACCCCGGAGGGCCCTTGCACTGACCGAAGCTCTCGGAGTGAAATTTCCAGCACACGTAGTAGCATCCGAGCTTAAAGGTAACGAGCAGATATAGCAGCACCTGTAAGGAGGGGGGTGAAATTTGTCACACCTTTTTCGCCTCTCGTCTGGTCAGATCCGCGAATGATTCGTAATGATTCGCCTAAAGGGGTTTAATGTCTGGGATTATTTTCCAGATTATTGTGAAGGGTTGATTAGTAATCCGCCTAAATATCCCTCTCCTCAGTTCACCCCTCTGGCCAGATGCTGGTAACACACGGCGTCGGTGTGTGAGTTTTATTCTGGGACGTATAATAAGGTACTCGGTGAACAACAATGGGCATGGGTTGAGTAGCTAATGCACACCTCATTACTCCGAACTTGGCCAAGATCTCCAGATCTGCGTGAGTAATGTTCGGGAATAGCTGTTGGGACGCGGGGATCCTCGGGGTTAGAGTATCTCCCTGGTGTATCATAGTCTATGACATTGTTATAGAATTCTTCAGGCAAAATGCTTAACTTCATGATTTGTCACTCGACCCTGTTCAAATTTCGAAGATGGAGAATTTGCGGACAAGAACCTAGTCCCTCATATATGGGGGGCGGTGTTCATTCAAAACGAGTCAGGTCTGTGTATAAGCCTTTGCTAAACGAAAGACCTAGCTTGCCGGGTACCCTAGGGTCGGGTGCGGTTTGAATTTCGCTCCTTTCTGAGACCGGAGAAAGATATCATGAAGACTGTATAGTTAGTCTCTAACTTATATGCTATGGAATTTACAAAATATTTCTGTAATTCTCCTTGGTGTGAGTATTTGTATCCCGGGGAGCAACAATTTTGATGTTTTGCGACCCTATCGTCTGTAGTTCTGGTGATATATGGTTATGAGATGAGGGGGACAGGTGACTTGATATATGGCTAAAAGAATGGCAAATACATGTGCTATACTATACAGGTGATATAAATCACAGAATAAGTGAGTAGAAGACAGCCAGCTGGTAACTGAGACCTTACCCTTCTAGGCTAAGAGCCATAATCCATACCCGAGTGTATACCACCCAGCGAATCCGGTGGGAGGGAAGAATTTCCTAAACCGGACTTAAATAACTACCTCACTCTTAGCTCATAGTGATGTGGGGCTCTGTCAAGCTCATTTAAAACCGATCATCGTAGCACTGTCCTCACTTTTTCTCAACCTCCTTTCCTCCTCCTTTCCCACCACTTCTCCGTCCTCTCATCGTCCTCGCAGTGTATTTTCTCTCAATCGTCTTCCAATCCCTCCACCACGTCTTATCTTCAGCTCTCTCCCTGCCTTCATATCACCAGTGACCTCTCTTCCGCAGTCCACTTCTTAACTCCCTTCCCCCATATTCACTCCTACCGTTATTATCCTTAGGAATTGGACTTCACGGGTGAAGTTTCATTGGTACTTTTGTTCTCTCGCACCTTTTTTTCCTTTCTCCTCGGGTGGTATCTGTCTTTCGACTACCTCCTTTTATACCTGCCCGTCGGCTATTTTTGTGGGGTGTGATGCTGTTTGATCTTCCTATCGAGAATTATTGGGACTAACTTCGAGGTGAATTGCAGTCCGCTGGTGATTTTTGTTTTGTAGTTGGCCGATCATATGCTCGCCACCTGCTCTGCCATATCCGGTATGTGGTGACTGTTTTATATCTCCCTGAGTTTATCGACAATTGCTTTGCGGTCGGCTGATTTGGTAAAGATTTGATAGGGAATGTGTGACAAAATGTCTGACAAAATTTCCGGCCCACTCGCAGGATCTGGTGCGGGTCGGCTGCTACCTTCATGTCCTTTGACCCTTTTTAGTGACTTCAAAATAGTCCCACACATTCTAGAAATGCCGCTAGAGCTTTTCATAATGATAATGGATCATCTCGATCTCGATGTTTTAACCATACTCGTCCATGTCTCGCGGAAGTTGCGTGATATCACTATACACTTCATTCTCCAGAAGCTCGCAAGTGATACCGACATGCCTCCCCTTCAATGGGCGGCAACGCATAAGAAGCACCGTCTCCTTGAGGTCTTTTTGAGGCTGCCGGGCTATTCGATTAACCAAAACGACGCGATTCACAGCACCCCCCTAAAATGTGCTGTCGCCAACAGAGACCCCAAAATGGCCAGCCATATCATTAAACTAGGAGCTGATGTTAACCTCGATTCCTGGAGCCATGGCAGTCTGCTCCATCTCGCTGCCTCTCGTGATGATTTTGAAGTAACAGAGTTGCTGCTAGAGGCCGGAATGGATCCTAATATTAAGGATGTTGATGGCGAGACTCCCCTAGATTGGGTCGTTGAACGGGCGTCCTGGCGGGTAGCACAGCTGCTTATCCGGTTTGGTGCCACAATAAATCACCAGAACAGCGAGAACGGAATGACCCCTTTGCACAGGGCGGTTATTGGCATCGGCACCGGAGGCGGGTTGGATATGATAAAAGGCTTGTTGAATGAGGGAGCATCACCAAATATTCTCAACAATGCCTGGTTGACGCCTTTGGGGATTGCCAGGAGAATGCAGTCGTATGCCTTAGTCGACCTTCTCTTTCATTACGGTGCGGATCAGGGTGCCAAGGATTTTTTTGGGTACGGCCAGATAGAAGGGTACTTTCGAGAGATTGAGGAAGGTAGAGTGAGATATAGATACTATTAGCGAAAGGTAAGGTGACTGGTTTGTATACGATTTTCCTTTTTTCCCTGGCATGCCATCCGTAATACTTTAGCCCTTTTATATCCACTCTAATTTGACTCTAATTTGTGGGGTTTGTGCGCTCACAAAAACGCATTTAACCCCGTTATCGCCTAAAATCTATTAAAATAGAAACTTGGCGATAACCCTCCTACAGCTTCCTTTGATATCTCTCTTGCAGACGACAATTTGGAATCTTTTGAAACTATTAGCCATTTCGTTGCTTTGGAAGATTTCTAATTTTACATCTTACCTTTCAGAATTGCTAGAATACATTCCTACTTGAAAGGAACCACCACATAGAAAACGGGACCGGATACAACGGGGAAACGACGATAGAATAGGAAAGTTTAAACTTCTAGAAAGATGTAGGGTGTAGCTCTAGCGGGGTATGGGTAATTCTTCGACACAGTTGCTCTCTGTAATTCTAGAGGGTGTTTGATTAGTGTATTTCGGAAACAGTCGTGATGGTGAGTTAGTGGAGCGGTTTCCGGGTGTTGTTTCCTTTATTTTTTTTCTTTCTTTTTTAATTTTGCCTTTATACTTTTGGTTGCTGGAGGGTCTGTTGCTTTGGGATCGTTGCTATTCTCGATTTCTCAAGTTTTTTTTTGGCATTCTGATTATTTCTGCAATCACATCGCTGCATTCATCTTCAATGGTAGACGATTCAAATACAAATTTTATTGTGTTCAAACTTTCACTTAAACTAGTTCATCAATTCAAATGACATTATCCACAAATCAATCACACCATACATGCGATCACCCCAAAACCCAATCTACCCCGGGGGTGCCTTCTCCGCCGCGGCTCCCTGCACTTTGGGCATCTTCTTGTTTGTCCCTAACGTGTCCAAATCCTTCTTATTATGATAATGCGGCGCAACCTCCACCAACCACTCTGGCTGCAACGGCATGACATTTCTCATGAATTCCTTGCCTGTGACCCAGTTAGCACTCATGTCCAATACTACCAGCAAAACGGGAAAGAGAAAAGCATACTTGTCAAAACTAGCTCATAATAAATGACCCACTTAGGATTGACCTCAAACAAACAACTGCTCGGATGAATATGCACCGTTTGCGAGTTCTTCACGGTGCGATAACTATCCCCACTCCTCTGCAGCCGCGCAGCATTGGGAAAGAACCCGCTGGTGATGGCCTTCTGTATCAACTGCGTACTATTCTCACCCGCCGAGCTGACTGTGACCTCGACCCTGTCACACAGTCTACTAAGCTGATCGCGAACGTCACGCGCGCGACACAGACTCCTGTGCTGCAAGAAGTTCTCGCGTGCCCATACGTAGCTGAAGTTTGTGTCGACCCACTGGTTCCAGATGTTTAGTAGCGAGAGGTGGTCACCGCCGTCTTTTTTCGTGAAGCGTTGGCGCGCCTGGTCCGCATGGAACTTCTTGTCCTTGGGGCGGTAGAAGAGGGAGGAGGACTCACCAAGCATGGCGATTATCGAGAGGACCTCTTCCACACAGCCGTACTTGTCCGCTGCTAGGATCGCTTTAGCTAGCATGGGATCTGTGGGGAATTCGGCCATCTGGCGGCCGATCTTTGTTAGCTCACCCTTATCGTTGAGTGCTCCCAGCGCATAGAGGTTTTCTAGCGCGCGGATGAGCGTTTCGGCCGGAGGGGGGTCCATGAAGTCGAATTCTATCAGGTCATTTATGCCGAGTGATTTTAGCAGCAGGACAACAGAGTTTAGGTTTGTGCGCTGGATCTCCGGAGTAGTGTTTTCGTCGAGTTCGTTTTGGTATGCCCACTTCGTGTACAGTCGGAAGCACTTCCCGGGCCCGACACGGCCGGCTCGGCCCATTCTCTGCTTCGCCGCGGCACGGGAACACGGTGTTACCACGAGTGATTCCATCCCCGTGCGGGGATTGTAAACGTTCTCTTTCACAAAGCCTGGGTCTATGACGTACACTATTCCGTCAATTGTGAGGGAGGTTTCAGCGATGTTTGTTGCCAGGACCACCTTCCTGGCGCCCTCTGGTGTGGGTTCGAATATTTTGGCTTGCATTTCTGACGGGAGGTTGGCGTATATCGGGCATACTATCATTTCTCGGATTTTGTTGCCTAGTTTGCGGCAGGTTTCTTGGAGGTTTTGCTCGGCGGCGTCGATCTCATCCTGCCCTGTTAGGAAGACTAGTATATCGCCTTGTGGGGGTGTGGTGGTGTGAATTTGAAAGATTGTGGTTATAGCTGCATTTAGGTAGTTTGCTTCGGGTTGCTGGGTGTAGTGCACGTCTACGGGGTATCGGCGGCCAGGGATGTTGAAGATGGGGGCGTCATCAAAGTATTGGGAGAATTTTTGTGCATCCATGGTTGCGCTGGAGATTAGCAGCTTGAGGTCAGGCCGGAAGCGTGCAATGTCTTTGACGAGACCGAAGAGGATGTCTGTTGACAGTGTGCGCTCGTGGGCTTCGTCGATCATGAGCGCAGAATATCCGCCTAAGTCTGGCTCTGTGAGGAACTCTCGCAGGAGCATGCCGTCGGTCATGTACTTGATTATTGTCTTGTCGCTCGTGGCGTCCTCAAAACGGATAGAGTACCCGACTTCGTTGCCGACTTTGACACCCATCTCTTCTGCTACACGGGCTGCGACGGACATGGCAGCAACACGACGGGGTTGCGTGCAGCCGACTTTAAGTCCCTTCTTGGTGTAGCCAGCTTCGTGGAGATATTGCGGTAACTGTGTGGTTTTTCCAGAACCGGTTTCTCCTACAATGATGAGGACTTGAAACTGCTCCAGGGCTTCCAGAAATTGTGTTCGCCATTCATAAATTGGCAAGGACTTTCTTGTTTCCTCAATTGTCCTTGCCTTGTTCTCTGCTGCCTTGAGCTGATGCTCCATGAAAATCCTCTCCTTGTCGGAGAACATGGAGTTTTGGTCAATGTCTGTGCTGTCCATGAGGAACTTGAGCTGCTGGGAATCGTCAAAGACATACTCGTAGTCTCCTTCGTCGACCCGCTCTGCACGCTTGATCTGTGCGCTTGCTTTTTGTGCCTGGTGTTGCTCCCATTCTTCCTGCTCTGTGACAAACCGCTCCTGCCCATCGTCCCCTTTCTCGACATATCGTTGGTAGAGCGCCTTTTCTTTCTTTTTCATGTCAATCTTGCCCTTTTCGGTGATGTAGTCCTCCGGCAGCATGTAACCATCAAGGTGATCATCGACCCTAAGTCTTTCCTCCGCGAGTCGGAGAATTTCCTTGTTCTTTGCGAATTCTTCCTTCTCCCTTCTCGAGAGATCGGGGTTTGTCCGTAATTCTTGTTGCTCATCTTGAACCTGTTTTCGTAACAAGGCCAAACGCTCAAGCTCACGCTTCTTAAGATATTCCTGTCGTGATCTTTCCCTCAAGTCTGGAAGGGCCGCAGCTCGAGCTGCAGCGTCATCTGCCAAAGCTCTCCGTTGAGCGAGCTGTTTACCTTCCTTCGTGGATGACCGGTCTTCAACCAACTTCTTGGTCTTCTCCTCATCCTTCTCTTTGAGGCGCTTTGCAAATTCGTCTCTTTCCTGAAGATCACGTAGTCGCTCCTTTTCAGCCTTTGCTTCCTCGTCCAGCTCTTCTAAATCCTCATCGTCACCGTCTACATGTGCACGCTTCGCTGGCGACAAAACTTCTTGGACCTCATCTTCCTCATATTCCTCGTCCCCCCATCTATCGTCGTCGTCTCCCCTTCTCCGTAATTTCCGAGATTTCCGGTCCCTCTCGCTGCGGTCCTTGTCACTTCTTCTTTCACCTTCTCCACCTCTGTCCCCACCACAGCCTCTATCTCTATCCCTCCGGCCTCGATCCCTCTCAGAATACCGGTCCCTTTCCTCATCCCTCTGCTCCCGTTTCTCTTCTTTCCTGGCCTCCCGACGCTTCTCCTTTGAACTCTTCACTCTCGTAGTCAATGAAGGTGGTGGCATTATTGAAGAAGTATCTTCGTCCTCATCCATCGCTAACAGCGAATACTTTTTCTTCCGTTCTACCGGCTTGTCTTTCCTGGACGACGCGCTACCGGCACCTCCGGACTTCCGAGGAACACGGTCATAGAGACTTGAGGTAAATCGATGGGTATCCGAAGAGTCACCATCTAGGAAGCTTGAGAGTTTGTCGTGTAGGGAAGAGGCGGATTTCGCGGAGGAGGCGGAAGCTATGACAAAGTCGATGATTGTAGAGTCTGCAGCGCCGGAGAACTGTTGAGAGGTTCGATTAGTGTTTGCTACAAGTAGGAAATGCGTAGGAAGGAAGGAGTTTTTATTCCTATTTTTTACCTTGATAATATTATCGGATACCCAGTTACGTAGCCCGTCCATCGTATTATAATTATTATCGATTGTGAGGGAGGAATAAATGAATAGGCAATACCGACAGAAGTTTTGTGAGGCTCATCGGGCCAAAATCGGGTAAAGTTACTGTAGGTGACTGGGGCAAAGATACAGAAATTCCCCCCAAGGTGTAATGTGTGTAAGGTGCATAAGTATAGTCACCAGAATTATGTGAACACTGCAGTCTTGGCATAGGGTATGACCTTCATGCGGAGACGCGCAAGGGCTCTGGAAATTATTTTATTAGTGAGGGAGAATTACTAACCTGCGAGAATACTCAGTACTGGTGACACAATATCGTTAATCCACAGCGCTCATCTTATTCTACCTAGCCCACAGCGCATCGAGGAGAGGACAGTCAAGGCCAATTGTTTTTTTTTGCTCTCTCTTTCTCTCGATCCCCTTCTCTCCCCTTCTCACCTTCTCCACTGTGTCGGTGGTGTATCTTCACCCCAACAAACAATCCTCATCCCCTTACCTCCTCTTATCTCCACTACAACATCATTCCTCCCTCTTCCCATAACCTCTCAGTTCTACTATTAGCCTCCACTGTATCGGCTACCGCATCGGCTGTTCTGGCCTTGGGCTAAACGACTCGACCGGTCCATCCATCATCCTAACTCCGACCCAGTCCAGGCCTGTTATCTGTTTGATACTTTACATTGACCCCCCCCTCTCCCAAGCTATTGCACCACCTGCATTACTTGATCGATATAGTCCTCCCATCGCTCGGGGCGAGCCATTGGTAGATGCCGGAGAAGGTGTCCGATCAGGAGACGCAATCTCAAGGCAAAAAGCGCAAACAAAATTTACAATCCCCTCGGCCGTCACAAGGCTTCTCTCAGAGAAGTATTACCGATTTCTTTGGGGATAGCACCTTAGGTTTGGACGTACCTACCTCTCGCCCAAGCAGTCCAAAACGTTCCCGAAAGAACTCGGAACAGCCTGAGCTCCCAAAGGACATGTCGACTCCTTTAAACGAGCAAGCCTGGCGTCGCATCAGCGAGAACAGGGTTGCTGATCTCAATGGTCTCCCACCTCACCCTCGAGATCCGCCAAACCCAAACACGAATATAGTTGCGACTAAGCCCCCGCGCCCCGCCCCGTTTCAGCCTCACGCTGGTGCACCTCGCAAATTACATATAAAGAATCTGCGCAAACCTTCGAAGATTGACCCGGATGTCTACTTTAATCAGACTTGGGGCTCTCTGGAAGCTGCACTCGCAGCAATCTTTGGGAGCCGCAAAATATCTGCTAGCTTGGAGGAGCTGTACAGAGGCACCGAAAATATATGTAGAGCCGATAGGGCCGGTGAGCTCTACATTAGGCTTAAGGCTTGCTGCGCTACCTACGTTGGTGACTACCTCAAGGATTCTATCATAGCTTGCAATAGCTGGAAAGATGATGCTGTCAAGTGTGTTGTCAGTGCTTGGGAGAAGTGGAATGCTCAGCTGGTTGGTTGGATATTGTTTTAACCCTTCTATAAACGAGAGTGAACTAATACTGATCGTAAAATATAGGGGATGATTAGATCCGTGTTTTTGTACCTTGACCGTTCTTACCTCCTTAACAATGCTAATCCGAGTCTTCAGCCTGTGGAACCCACCGGGCTAGAACTCTTTCGGCACCATATAATACTGGCCCAAGAAATAGAAACCAAATTTATGGATGGAATCATGGCTCTGTTCGAACGCGATCGCCAGCAATGCTCAATCGACGCTTCTCTGCTCACACGTGCCGTTCGCATGGTGGATAGTTTAGACCTCTATGAGACGAACTTTGAGCCCCGGTTCCTGGCCATGTCTAGAGAATATTACGACCGCCTTGGGATTCTAGGGGCAACTTCTAACTCCCTTGCGGAGTACCTTGACGAATGCTCTCAGCAATTACACAAGGAGGCATTAAGATGCGAGAGGTACCGCTTGGATCCGCCTACAAAGCGATCTATGGGGCTTATACTCGAGGAGGGATTGTTGAAAAACCAATTACTTATCCTCACTGATCAGGGAAGTATCGAGGATCTTTTACAAAAGCAAGATCATAAATCCTTGGCGACCCTTTATAGCCTTCTTGATCGGATAGGGGAGCCGAGCAGCTATCTAAGGCTGGCATGGGAGAAACATATACTTACTGTGGGTAGAAGTATAATCGAGGACGAGAGCCGAGAAAACGAAATGGTGCAGCGGCTTTTAGAGCTTAAGGATAGCCTAGATTCTTTTGTTAGGGTGCCGTTCAAGGGTGACGATACGTTGGCTTATGCTTTGAGGGAGTCGTTTGGAACATTCCTCAATGCGCGCACCAAGGATCGATCAGAGATGGTGAATTCAAAGCCGGCTGAAATGATTGCGAAATATGTCGATGCGCTGCTAAGAGGGGGTGCCAAAGGAACCTCTACAGGGACGCCTGGTGATGAAGATGCTAGGTTGGCCCATTCGCTGGAGCAGGTCCTTGACCTGTTCAGGTTCATCCAGGGGAAAGATGTGTTTGAAGCGTTTTACAAGAGGGATCTTGCAAGGAGGCTATTGATGGATAGAAGCGCTAGTCGAGATGCTGAACGGAGCATGATAACCAAATTAAAAACCGGTATGGTATCCTGAATTGATGTTTATAAGGGTTTTGCTGACTTCCACTCTAGAGTGCGGATCCGGATTCACTCAAAACCTAGAGAGCATGTTCAAAGACATTGAAATATCTCGAGAGGCGATTTCGCATTTCAAAACGACAAGGAACCGCGCGGGGAATTCTCCAAATGTAGATCTCAACGTTCTAGTACTTTCTCAGTCAGCATGGCCAACCTATGACGAGGTGCCGGTAGTTATTCCACTTGAGATGGCGCAATATCTAGAATCCTATAGAAATGTCTACTGCGAAAAACATAGTGGAAGGAAGCTCATGTGGAGACACGCGTTGTCACACTGTGTTCTAAGGGCGAGATTTGCACCGGTATGATTGAATCACTTCAGTGGCTACTCCCTACCTTGAAGTAAGTTAATAACGGAGGGGGGGAATAGAATGTGAACAAGGAGCTAGTTTTGAGCGCCCTCCAAGCAGTAGTCCTCCTACTATTTAATGATGCGGAATTTGGAACCTACCTCTCATACCAACAAATTAAAGGAGGCACCGGACTAGGTAACCCCCACCATCTCGGAAGTGAACAAAACTAACCTGCTCCTCTCTCAGACGACAAACAGCTAATTCGCACCCTCCAATCCCTCGCGTGTGCTAAATACCGCGTTCTCCAGAAGGAGACGAAGGGGAAGGACATCCTCCCGACAGACAACTTCTGCGTAAACCGGCACTTCTCGGCACCCAAATTCCGCATCAAAATCAACCAGATCCAGCTCAAAGAAACGAAAAAGGAGAAAGAAGACACCTTTGAACGCGTAGCCCAGGACAGGCAGTACGAGACTCAGGCTGCCATCATCCGCATTATGAAGAGCAGGAAGAAGTTGAGGCATAACGACTTGATTCAGATGACAATTGATCAGACCAAGAATCGGGGGAAGTTGGACGTTCCGGAAATCAAGAAGCAGATTGAGAGGTATGTCCTTTTTTCCCTGCTGGAAGTGGGGTGAGAGTTGTGCTAAATAGAGGAAATAGGTTGATCGACAAAGACTATATGGAACGCCTCCCCGGGGGGGAGACTTGGTATCAGTATGTTGCTTGAGTTGTATTGTCTCTTTCTTTCGGCTTCTCTGCTTGCTCGCTCGTTTAGCTATTACACATTACCTTGTTTTTACTCCCTTTCTTTAGTGGGTATGTTTGTTAGGCTCGGCGTAATACATTGTAGATTAGCCTCTCCCCGTATTATTTGTTAGTTTGCATGCTTTTCCTAGTAACTTATCGCCTGCGTGTATTATTGTTAGCTGAATGGTTGCCGGCCCGTCTCGCCCTTCTTATAACTTGCTAGAAACACATCACTGCCCATCTCCCCGGCAACAACTAGCTTTCCTTCCCTTTCTTTTTAATTCCCTATTCGGCGTCACAATATAGATATATCGCAATAAAAGTTGAAAATAGCACATATTTTGGCACGATATCTCGGAAATATAGGTGTTTGTTTTCGGCAACCAGTAAATAAATATATGAGTCAAGAAAATTGTTGCCCAGTCATAGCTTGTTAAATGCGCGGGGTTATAGAAAATAGATAAAAAGAAGTAAAGTAAGTGAAAGCAGTCACAAGTAATGATATAATCAGAGTCCTAGTCATCCCAATCCCGCTCAGAATCCATATCCATTAGGTTTTTGTTTTGATAACAGAAAAATTTGTCATGATAAGGAATAAAAAAATAAAAATAAAAAAAGTCAATCGGATATCATATTATATCTTACTGATAGTAAATTCCACGTTATTTGAACGGTAAACAATATCGTTGTGAAATTTGATTTTTATTTATTCATCATTAAATCTTCAAGTCCAAAGCCTATACAAGTATACGCATGATCCGGAATATCGTATCTCCTTAATAACCTATCGGCCGGGGAAGCGAACAAGTCATAAAACTCACCAAAAAGGGTAACGAAATTTGAAATTCTCAAATATCACTCGACACAAGGAGGACGAGATACACAACAGCGTATCATATGAGATAAAACATTATTCCAGATCTGCCCTTTTTTTAGTGGGAGGGGCTAAATTCGGAAGTTTTTTTTTTTAGTGGTAATTCTGCAAGTGAGAATTTGAGGTCTGATCCGATTCCTGGTCCAATACGTCATGATCATAATTATGATATTGAGAGATGAAATATTTTTTATATATGCACTAAAAAATCATATCCACATATCATAATTTGTTCTAAAGTCATTTTTATGCTGAAAGAAATGGCGTGGCGAATGGGGCCTTGGGAGGAGGAAAAAGTAAATGGCCTCTGTCTGCTTGAATGGGATAACGCATGTCCTGAATCCGACGACGTGATATGTAACTTGGACAAAGTTTTTTATTTTTTGTTTGGGTTTAGGGAATGTCAAACTCTTGCTTCTTCGACCTCTATATACTGTACGAGTACGGTAGAAGAACAGGACAGCTCCCCTCCTCCTCCAAACCGCTGTGCGCGTTGAATGTAAGTTAATCATTCTCCACAGCAATCTGCCCGTACAATAGTAGGGGGAAATTGCTAGTAGGAGGAAGAAAGGACATTCAGCTAAGTATCATACCTGGAATAGCACGACAAGTCAGCCAGCTATCATAGCCAGACCTGAGGTGAGGGCGTATAAACGCCAGGAGTGAACCTTAGTTTCCTTTAGAGTTGTAGTCGTCTATTGACATGCCGCAAGTAAACAGACGCGCCCCCCCCCCCCCAACTAGACTTGAGACGTCAACTGAATTTATCCGCCAGCATATATTCAAATGGGTATGATACCATAGTGCCCATAGCAATACTATTGTATCTCAATTATGGGGCTCCGGTGAAGGACGTCATTGCGAGACTTGTGTCCGGACCAAGTCCTGCTCCCTCGTCTTGGTGACCAGACGCTCTTGTAGCAAGGCTCTACACAGGAATGTATCACACGATGGCGGGATCCTCCCCGTCTATTTCTGCTATTCGGAGGGCAGAAAAGCGGTCGAGTCTTTGCCTAGAAAACCGGATCACCCTTTGTTAAACAATAGCCCCCCGTTCAGGCCGCTTAGTGAGTCGAAGTGCTAGACATCATTGGGGTTAAAGGGTAGAAGGTTATGTTCTTATATTATATATAGTACACTCGAATACGTAAAATTTATTAAAGAAGTAAAATTATTATTATTTACAAGACCAAGGGGGAATACCAGAGCTATATTTCTCCCAAGCTGGCATATCTAAACCTGCAATTTGGGGGTTGGGGGTTGGGGCCGGCCCCCGACCATCATCTGCAACAATTTCAATTATTCACCCGAAAAGGCGCACCGCCCCCGCCTACACGAAAACAAATGGGTCGACCCTGACTAACAGACCTTCCCAATGCATGACATCCAGGCTGCATGACCAAGTCCGTAGTAGCGCAGATCTCAAAACTTATTGTAAAAATAACTAATATACTGCACGGCATGTATGAATATAGCAGCATTGCCCAGGTGTCCGCCCCGTCGCAGTGACCTAGTTGAATGTCACAAACTCTCACTCGCATGTGAAAGGGTGGGGTCCCAGGTGTGAGCGCAATGAGAGGAAGGGAAAAAGGATAAAAAGTTAAAGCACAAACCCCCAAGCTAAAGCAACACAACGCAGAGGACAAGTAACTAAAAATAAAAGGAAAAATAAAAGCAGAAGAGTATAGATATAGATAGCAAGCAAGTAAAGTAAGAGAAGAAAGCAAGCTAAACAGGTTGCTAATCGCCCCAACCAGAGAGACCTACTTACAAGACGATCGATCAATCAACCACAAACTAAATTTCGAAATTTCGAAAAACCTACATGAAGGAAAGAAAGAGAAAGGAAAGAAAGGAGAAGTGAAAAGAAAAAAGAAAGACACCATATAATAATACACTTGTTCTCTCTCGCACCCAAATTCCATCCATTTTCCATCCTCGATGCTAGTAGGCGATTTATTCATCTAGTCGCGAAACAACCAAGCTCTGTATCCTTCCTCCTTCTTTCTCCTCCTCTCCTTCTCCTTTTTAAGGGAGTCTTCAAACTTCTTGGTACGAACACTCCCATCGGGCTTCTCACGCTTGTCAGTGCGAATTTCCTTCTGGCGAACAAAGACTTCGTCAAACAGGGTGTTAAAGTTGAACTTGGGGGTTTCCGGATTGAGAAAGTTGACTAGATCATGAAACTCTTTGGTCTCGACAACACTCGGGGATGTTTCGCTCGAGGCGAGAAATTCGGTCAAGAGGTTTCTATAGGATTGGGTGAAGGGGGTTTGCGGGATTGTGGAGTCAATGGTGGCGGGGACGAATGGAGTAGCGGAGGACGAAGGGGCCGGGAAGGTGGCGACAACGGCAGATTGTTGGACAGGTGGAGGAGGAGGGAGAGAGGTTGAATCATTTTCTAGGGGCAGAAGAGTAGAAAGGGTGTGATCTGCCTCCGCTAGAAACTTTTCAACAGAGGGGGTTTTGTTTTTGCGACTAGCGACTACAGAGGTCTCGGTTCTTCTGCGCTTGCGGGTGGTGAGCGGGTCGGGAGAATCAAGATTGATACCAGCGGCAGAGATGTTTTCAGGTTGTCCAGTTCTCTTACCAGAGCGAGTCTTGCGAAGAGAGGCAAGAGCTTCATCGCTCTTGGACTTAGTAGAGACTGTATTGGCTTCCGCAGCCTTCAATTGAACGGGAGTCTCGGGCTCCGCAATCGCCCTAGCCCTCTTGTTCTTCTCGGGTTTTCTGGCGTTCGCTTGTTCGTTTTTCCCCTCCCGTTCACGACCCCTCCCTTTTGCACCCTCTTCACCAGCCTTCGCTTCCTCCAATCCATCAGCCTTGACTTTGCCACCCTTCTTTTTACCTTTTCCCTTTGCGTCTTTGGTATCCTTAGGTTCTATTGGATCCTCGACGATCCCCTTCTTCATGCGACGGAGAAGCGCATCCTCCTCGGGATAGGATTTGGGCAGATCGGGATGCTCGATAGAGAAATGCCTAATCAAATAACTTGTGGTAGTATTATGCATATCATAAGGACCCCAATACTTGTCGCAATGGCAACAGAAAGTCTGAAACTGCTTTCCTCGTTCGTCTGGTTCATACTGCTTGATAAATTTGCGAATAACCATGTGACGAAGGAGAAGGTATGATGTCGACTTCTTAAGTGAAAGAGTGAGTTCGGAGTCGAGGATATCTGCAGTAGGAATTTTTGATTTAGTGTCAATATTTAATGGAGGGTCCAATTGGAGGGAACAAAATGAACAAATTGAGGTGGAGGATATTCACCATATTTTCCTGAGAGAAATTTGATATATGCCTCTTTTTCCAACATGTCCTTTTCCTTTTCCTTTTCCGACGACAATTCCTTGCCTTGATCTTTAGCTGCCACCTTCTCGCTATCCTTGGCTTCTTTGCCTCCACCTCTGCCCGAATCTTTCTTTGCCCCACCGGCCACGGAGTTAATAGCGGTGAACGACATCTTGACCAAAGGGTTGAAGCACAGTTGTTTCAAAACAGCGGCTGACGGAAACGTTGCGTTATGCTGAGTAGCGGGGTATGTGCGAAGCGAGGAGGTGAGTGGAGAGGATAGGGAGGGGGGGAGGGAAGGGGGGAAAGGAGTGAGCGAGGGAACGAAAAGGAAAACACAAGGTGGGATGAAGGTTCGTGTTTGGGGGGGGGGGAGGCTCAGAATTTAAAGCAACTGGAACGCGTGCACGGACTCTAAGCCGTTTGTGGTGGTGCTGAACAATTTGTTGTGAGGGTGGGGGAATTAGGCGTTGGATGACGTCTCGGTCGCTAAGAACGCGGTGCGATGGGTCTCGAGTGCGTTCCAAGAGACCTATTATCCTGTAGTCGGGGTTTACTTTTTTAATTCTCTTTAATTTTTTTTGTTAATAGAGGATTTTGAACACCTTAGAGTTTCCCCTTGTATGATATCTTGGTTCGAAGAGTCGATGATGTGAAGAACTCGTTCGTGGTGATCGCGTTCGAGGAAACGGTGCGGAATTTTGTTGGTTGAGGACCTTGATGGAGTTGGACTCTTTTTTCCTTCTCGGAGGCTGGGGGGAAAGAGTTTAGGATTGTGAGCTAAATTTATTTTTTATGCTAATATAATTGCCTTGGTAGGAACTAATTTTTGATATTTTAATGTTTTTTTTTTTAATTCACGAATAGGGACCAAATTGGGATGGTGTGAAAACCGGTCAATTGACTGGGCATCGAATACCAGGGCGCCATGTACTGCTTGTACAGGACTGTACGCACTTGTACGAACTTGGTTTGTTGACAATTTTCAGCCTCTTATTATATTTGTACACGACCACCCCTGGATTCTTAAAATTCGCGCCCGAGAGCGCAATAAACATGTAAACAGAGGATTTGCTCTGGCGGGGCGTTCTCAGTGGGCTGGAACGTAACCTGTAGATGGGTCGTATTGACTAGACTGAATGCGAGACCAGACTAGATGAATTGGGTGCCAAAAAACTATAGACGAGGGAGGAAAGAGCGAGTGACCAGCCATGATGGTTATGTCGTAGATATGAAAGTCTAGAGTGGATAAATAACCGGGGAACTAGCGATGGGAGTGCGTGTATCCTAATTAGGGAGTAGATAAGCGTGAGAAATAATCAACTGGGTAACCAATGCAGATTCTGGATAAGAACAGAACTGGTGATATATATCACTCCCGAAAGCCAACAACTCTAGATGGGAGCATGAACCTGAGCGAACAGCCCACAGCCTTTGTGCCGTCCCGAGACCCATTCCTTGTGCTGAGGGGCTGGGGGGCGGGCAAGAGAAACAACAAATCAAACTCAGCCGCCTATGCCCAACTGTCCAGTGAGTTAAAAAACAAAACGGTGCAACCGCACCCTATGGCCAATCCGCGTAAAAGGGGAAGGTAAAGTGTGGGAGTTTGGTGACGAAACGCCTCTATTGGGGAATAGGATAGGAAGATTAAATCTTATCCGAGCCAATTAATATATTATCAAGCAATGGTAAATGACATCTGGAGAAGGCTGTTGTTCTGTGGAGAGAGATTACGAAGGAAGTGGGGACTAGCTTTCTAATCACCTTTTCGACATGGCGGAAACGTTTACTGGTAGTTGAGGTTGACCCCGCCAAGATGCAACATTCGGAAATTTCTGTACCTACAGGGAAGGGCCTTTTTCAACCGGGTGCTGCAATTGACACTTGACAAAGAATCTAAAATCCCTTGCATGTCGATAGCAGAAAAAGTCACCCCGTGCTTCTCTGCTCGCTAAGAAGCCAACTCGTATTCTTTCTGGAGCGCTATATGCATGCCACTGCGACCCATTGAGAATCCCTACCACCAATCAGCCAACGGTCAGTCGACATCCCGACTAAAGTGAGAACACTGGCATATTGGAGCATCGTACGACAAATCGCCATGTTTTCGCGGGTTAGGTTGAGTATCTACGGAACAAGTTGCCACAGAGGTCATATGATATCACTCGGTGGTAAATTTCTATCTTCGTATTCTTCCTGAGGCTTATTCTATGGTCTTTGGGGGTTGCTCGAGGGGTGGTTGACAAATCGGTGCGTCATACGCCCGTGACTTCAATTGAGCCTCCTGATGATGTGACACTTGCCTAGCCACAAAGCTTATCCTAGAGCCTATATAAAACCCGACACTTTATGCGCGGTAGGTCTAAGGAACCTTAGGATCCATGATGTATCCTCTAAGAACCCCTCACAATATCGCATTATTAGCTAGAAGATCGAGTAATAACATGCTTGTCGCCCTTGCCCTCTGAAGCTTTCAGATCTCCCCACGATACTCTGTCGATCTGCTCAGCCCTGCATAATGACTGCTGTTAATATCCTGGTGAAGGGTTGAGAGCATTGACCATATGTGAGTATTGGTCCAGGGTCACTTGTTCCGCAAATGAGTAGTCTCCAGGCGAGGGGTAGGGCTCCAAAAGGAAACGGCGAGTGAGAAGGTCTAGGATATAATTCATGCCTCATGAGCGACATCCATTGAATCTTCTCGATCTCGGATTTATATCTCGCTTCCATACAGTGCTACATCTGCGGGAAAATGGTAGCATTGTGGTTAGATATAGAGCATGGGGTTTGATATTGCTTATTTCCTTTCGCGTTCTACATGTATGCAGGTAATATCACATCATATATAGGAATTGGGAATCGCTTCTAGGTGGAATATCGGGGAGAGAAGGAGGATACTAGTAGAGGAAGAAAATTATGTGTCTTCTCGATATTTATAGTGTGTGAGATCGGGCGTATCGTTTGACGGACCGAGAGTGCGGGGAAGTTTTGCCGATCCCGAAGTCCTCGCCAAGATCTTGCTGTTCACTTGCGGGGAGTTTTCCTTTTTGAGGTTGTTGGGTGTTGTATCCTAACGTGACGAGCGGAACGAGTAGGGATCGAATGATTGATAGCAAATAAAGAGAAAGAGAAAGGCAGCCTCAAGAGTTTTTTTATTTTTATTGGGGCTCTGTTTGATCTCTGTTTTCTTCTTTGCCTCATCAACAATCATAATACGCAATTCTTTCTCTCTTGACTATTTTTGTCAGTTCAGGGAGAAATGACTTCAGAGAGGGATCAAAACAAGAATCGAGAGAGGGACAGTGAGAAGCTTTGGGAGCATTCTTCCCCGGAGAGAACGACAATGTACCAATTCAAACGGCACATCTCGGAAAAATACTCACGAGAGTTCTCCGGTGAGGAAGACAAGTTCAATTCCTTATGGGCATGGTCGGTCGACGAGATTGAGAGCTTCTGGAGCGAAATTTGGAATTATACGGGGATTAAAGCTACTAAACGGTTTGAGTCCGTATGTGTCCGAGTTCAATTCACCCGTCCTACCACCGTTGCTCCTTCTACCAATTGAACCGCCGAGTGAAAGTGCCATAAACTAACAATGTTATAATAGGTCGTAGATGTGAATTTAGGAATGTTCCCAAGACCGGCCTGGTTTTCAGGAGCTCTCCTTAATTTCGCCCAGAACCTGCTCTTCCCACAGCTACGCGACAACGGCGGCGACGCGGTCGACGAGAACGCCATCGCGGTCATTGCCGCAACAGAGGGGACAGAACGGGAACATGTCACTTGGAAAGAGCTCCGCGAACGTGTGCGTGTTTGTGCGGCGGCTCTGAAACGGAGGGTTAAGAAGGGTGATATAGTGGCAGGTGAGGAGTGCAGATCTCTTACCCCCCCCGAAAAACAAAAAAAAAACTGGTTGTAATTGAAGGGATTGGCCGGCGGAATGCTTACACGGGTGATACCGGGCGGTAGGGTACGTCGCGAATCATACGAATGCTTTGGTAGCTATGCTTGCTTCTACATCTTTGGGATGTGTGTGGACAGGGATTAGTCCTGATCATGGGACTACCGCTGTGCTTGACCGTCTGGTTCAATTGGAACCTAGGGTGCTTTTTGCGGATTCTGGTGTGCTTTACAATGGCAAAATACATGAGGCTATGCCAAAACTGGGTGAAATCGTTGCCGCCCTTTTGAAATTGGAGACTGTAGTGGTTTTCCACACTTTTGGGCTAAAAATTGGCGTCCAAAGTATCAAGCCGAAGGGGCGGGGCGAGTGCCAGGTTTGGCAATATGAGGATTTTACGCAGCAGACGGCAGACCAAGACTGTCCGTTGGAGTTTTTGCAATTGCCTCCTGACACCCCTGTTTATGTTTTATTTTCTTCAGGGACCACCGGAAGTAGGCTCTTTCTCTGTTATGGCTGTGCAAAGGTTGCTAATGGTGCTTTTAGAGCCCAAGTGCATTTGCCATGGAGCTATTGGGACTCTAATACAGCATAAGAAGGAACATATGATTCATTGCGATGTTGGGCCCGGGTCGGTCTTCTTTCAATTCACCACTGTTACTTGTTAGTTGGTGATCAATCTTGAACGTGGAGATTGTGATCCCGCTAATATTCGACTAGGGATGATGTGGCATTGGCTTGTGTCTGGCCTGGCCAGTGGTGCGACTATTGTTCTCTATGATGGGTCTCCATTTAGGCCTCTCATAGGAGAAGGGGGAAATCTGGCAATGGTAAAACTGATCGATGAACTCGAGTATGATGAATGTATCACCTTGGTAGGTCTAGTGCTAAGGGTTTCTAGGGTAACACACTTTGGCACAAGCGCCAAGTATCTTTCGGTACTAGAACAGAGCAAAGTATACCCGAGTGTGTCTTGCTCGTCACCTTGTTCACCGAGACAAAATAACTGATGAGATAATAGAGGACAAATATCCCATGAAAAGCCTCAAGGCAATATATTCTACTGCATCGGTGCTTGCGCCGTCCACATTTGAATATGTTTATAGTGCGTTTGGGCCAGACCTCAACCTTGGCTCTATTACCGGGGGCACGGACATCATCTCGTTGTTTGGTGCGCCCTCACCTCTCGTTCCAGTATTCAGCGGCGAAATCCAATGTTTGGGTCTGGGAATGAAAGTGGAAGCCTGGGATGGCAGCAGAAACAATGTCGAGGGCTCTGGCGAAATAGGGGATCTTGTATGTGTCAAGCCGTTCCCTTGCATGCCGGTCAAATTCTGGGGAAATGATGGCGAGGCCGTTTACAAGAAGTCGTATTTTGAAGAATTCCCTGGTATGCCTTCCTTTTACCTAATCAAACAAATACCCAAGCATTGATAGGAATAGGCGTATGGCACCACGGTGACTTTATTAAAATAAATCCTAAAACACGAGGCTTCCAAGTGCTCGGCCGAAGCGATGCAGTCCTCAAACCGGCGGGTGTAAGAATTGGCTCGGCAGAGATTGTATATATACCTCTTGTAAACCTCCCTTAGCACGTGCTGACAACAGACAATAGTACAATGTCCTCCTAGCCAGCTTCCCTACCCAATTCGAGGACGCAGTCTGCGTTGGCCGCCGCCGCGCGAGCGACGTAGACGAGCACGTAGTTCTCTTCGTAAAAATGTCCTCTGGCGCACTCCTTACTCCCCAATTAGTCGCTACGGTAAAGAGCACGATCCGCCGCGAGCTCAGCGCAAGACACGTCCCTGCCTCCATAGACGCGACACCGGAAATCCCTGTCACAACCAATGGGAAGAAGGTGGAAGTCGCAGTGAAGCAGATTGTCAGCGGGATCAACCTCAGGGTTAGCGCCAGCGTTGCGAACGTGGAGAGTTTGGAGTGGTTTAGGCGGTGGGCAGCGGAGAATTGAGTGGTACCTGTTATGTGCGGTGGAGTTGTTGATGTATTAACAAATCAACCGGGGAAATGGCGTGTGTCTCTTGTGCTCAGTGGTGGGGTCTGATTTAGATGTTGTTTTGCGGACCATAGCAAAATATTCACAGCAAAGTCAAGAATGAGATCATGATATATCACTCGTATGCTGGCATTTATTGAAATACGGATTGGACGAGATAAAATGCGCTGTTCGGGCGCCCCCTATCTTGCATATTGCACGGTTCGTGATAGGAGTTCGGAATCCTCATTTCAACTGCCTAATTGTCTCATACCGCGTGTTAGTGCACCCCTCACCTATCCAGGGCCCCTTGGACTCTCTGGGGCCTTATCAGGGAAGAAGAGGTTCACAGTGTATATATAACGCTATTAGAGGCCCACAACGAATAGTTGTAGACTGTGAAGAGAGAGTAGTTCGTGCTACGGAATAAAGTACCGAACTCACACGGCGGGCAGAGGACGTCTGAGTCGGGCCTGCCCGCGAAATGAATAGGCCAATAGATATTCAAGAGGGCAATGAATTTGTGTGCGTTCAAGCCAGTTGCTAAGTCTTCGAGGACGCGATCCACCCACACAGAGAATGTATATCTTGCCGCACAACCGGAGTTTGGAGATGGGTTGGGTGCTTGGTCCTGCTGCTTGCTTTTACAATACGACAGTAGCGAATTGGAAATTGAAGGGTTGAAAAAAAGAAAAGGGTTGAAAAAAGAAGCGGAAAGAAGCGAAAAGCGGCGCTCTTGGGTCTTGCTCGGTGCACATGAAAGCCTTTTGACGTTCGCTGTGGTATTTCTGGGAAGGTTTGGGTGTGTATGGTATGGGAGATATCGCGTTTCTCGTACTTGCTGCACAATACCTGGGGGGTTGAGGCTTCGTGCATTGCTGTGGCGTTATTTGGCGCCGGTTGTGCGAATGATTCCCGAACTGTACTTGGGTCGTAAGGGATTGATTGATTGATTGATTATTTTCCTTCCCCGTGAATTGAATCGTGCGGTTTGACTCCCGCGTGAGTGCTCGGTGTCGAAGTCGCCAGTTATGATATCATACCATGGCTAGCTAGTTGACGTAGGGCTAATCAGAGTGCTTGTGGGATACCTTGGCGAAGAAGATGTTGGTGGAGATACTACGAGTGCAGTGGCAAAGAGCTGGCTGTGGGAAACAGGGCCAAGTTAGACCAGAACCTTTTTAAGCACAGGCGCGGCTTTACCATCACACAGCGCACCGCTTCACGTCCCATTATCGGAAGCCTGAAGGGTGGCCGTCGGCAGATGGCGGCCGGAATTCGTAGAAGATGCTCAGGTTGGTGTCGTTATGGAATGGCAAGACCTTCCCAGTTGGCTTTTTTTCCAGCAAAGAACGGACGAGAGCGGTGCTTGACCATCTTCGGCACTGGATGTTAGTCTTGTTGAGTAAGGATATCTATTCTCCTTATTGTCAGCAGCTGGACGAAAGGAGTGTGCTTTGATCGGCTGGGGTGGGATTTATATGTCCGGCGAATTCACAAAAGTGTATCTGTGCCCAACTTGGGGTCTGAGTAAAACACTTGAGAGTATGATGGACTGGTCGTGATTGGATTGGATGGGGTGTGAAAGATATCTTGGAAGTGGGTTACTGCTACGATATTGAATCCCCCAAGGGGGGGGTTTATGAGAGTTGTTGGGCTAGGGGGATATTTGTAGAGCTAAGTTAATTGCTCCTGGTTTGTTTGATAAGGTTATGGCTCTTTATTTGGATGTTTGCTTTCACGCGGAAGCTGTGCCATACTGTACCGATTCGATGTTCTACACTAATACCTAAACCTGGCTGGCTCGCGAATGGGAATTGTGGGGAGTGGGGTGCGGAAAGCAGTAAATTTATGTCGAACCACATCTCGTAATGGTCTGCCGGGGGTATACTGTGCTGATGGTGCGGAGGGGGGGAGGAAAAGAAGGTCTGGGACATTGATCTAGCTGGGTGAATTTGTGTGCGGCCAGTGGCGGATACTGGAATTTCTACCCTCTGCTAATTGATCCCTTAGAGCTTAGTCTACCCAGTAGGGATCTCAGCCTCACTAGTTGATTGGCAATCCGGTTACACAATGCTAGGGCTGATCTAACACTTCTAGTTTCCCGGCTTTTTTCAGTGAGACCCCATCACCACAGAGGCCTGCTCTGCAGTTTTTCAATAATGCGGCCGTTGCTGAGATTAGCTCGTCGGGGCATGGCACTTTACTCGTTTCCACTGAAACGGTGAAAGCAAACCTTTAGATAGCGCTTGAGTGGCGATGTCAACAGTTTCACCGTCTCTGGTGGACACTGCGACGCTGCAAAATTCACAACAGCTACGGTGGTAGGATGGAGGTTCTCGAATGGAAAAGCATTGGGGCGTGTTAGCTACGCACCTTAAAGGGGTGGGGGACTGGGTTTCCGGAAGCACAGGAGTTCTGAAATTGCTGGAGGAGTAGTGCGGTGGCTCTATTGATAAGGCCTTGTTATATGGGAGGATCCTAGGAGTTGGTTCATTTGGTAATGTTTCCCCCCTCCTATACCACTTGAGTAGCTAGGTAACAAGAGATGAAATTTTTTCTAGCTTCCTTGTTGCCGATGCTTGTGCGATAGCACCGCGGAATCAAGAGTCGGAATTGCATGCCTGTACTGACATTGCTGGCGACAAAAGGGGAGGCTACCATGAGCATGATCCGTAGTCTCCTAAGATGGTCTGTGTCCAGGGAAGGATCCCTTCTTTCCGCTTGGATGTTGTCTTGGACTAGTTACTGTTGATCCGGAAACGCCAATAGCCCTTCTGATCCATGCGAATTTGCGGGGTATAGTCTACTATCTTCGCACCTGCCAAGATCTCTTTCGGAGCACTCAAGCCACCATTGGAGGGGGGCCGGAGACTTCCCTGGGTTACTTAAAATTTTAGTCGGCTTAGGGGATTTTGCAGGGCATTGCAACTCCCCGTTGGCATTCCCTCTTACAGCCTATGTAACGTGCTACTGAGGAAAAGAGCTCGTTCTCGCCCCCTAATAATTATAAACCAATACCCTTGGCATGCCGCTGCGAACATTTGTGGTAGGTGACCTTCGTGGAGAGATTTGGCAACGAGTGTCCTACATTGAAGGTTTTGGTGGTTTACTTGCTGCTTGCGCCGGCATCCGTGGAATTATTACAGTGCCACAGTCACTCGGCAGAAGTGTTCGTGAAACATGTTTCATATTCCTCAAATCACGCAGTTGACCGTGCTTAGGGCTATCTGATATAATAGTTCGAGTAGCTAGTGCTACGCTCTGGGGGCGGAAGAAAATGGAAATCCTCAAACCCTTGTTAGCGGTAGTCATTTCTCTTCTGCATGTTTTTGGAGTTTATTTTTCGCTGCATACATTTCTAGATCTATTTCCCATTGCTGAGAGGAAGAATGAGGGCGAAATGTAGATTAATTAGCTTGGACTGGCACTATTTCGAGGGGGTGTTGGAAAACACCAGTATCATAGTTAAAACCTTCTTGGCCAGGATATATGCTGTACGCGCCCATCACTTTATGATATCCTTCCCGATCATACCACTCTTGTCTTATAGCACCGTAGTACGGTGGGCGGGGTGGAATGGGAATTGAGCATTATGGAGTAGCTGTAAGAAAGGTATGGTCAGAAACTTCGTTCCCTTGTTCGGCACTCTCTACACCATGTGTAATGACAGAAGCACATATAAACGTAAAATCATCCCTATCCTTCCATAGATATCACTTACATCTCTTTTCCTTCATTCACGTCGCCATTTCCTTGCTTCCTCGTGCGACAACAAAGGAGAAACAGGTTTGAGGGCCTTCTCTAAAAAAATCACAACAACTCCAGAACAAAAAGAAGCCCCTACAACACTAAGACTAACCGCGACTCACTATCCTCCTTTTTAATTCTAAGATCTTCTGAGCGATCGGTAACATCGCTCAATTAGCTAGCATCGTTTCCTTTAATTTTAATTCCTGATATTTTTAATTCTAATTTTAGTTCCTCTACTTCACTGGTAATGAGTTTATCATTCTCCGTTGTTCTCGTGGGTTAATTGTTGATTGTCTACGACTCCCCTGATACCCCCTACAAATTATTTTACCACTCCTACATTCGACTTTCACTTTTGACGAAATACAATGGTCCAAGCTACACATATACAATCAGTCAGCTTCGGCGACGGCAATGCTAATTGCGGCAACATAACGGGTAGCTTCAACAAAAACGTCTACATGTCCAATGAGGATGCGCAGATTATGCGTTGGCTCTCTCCGCTAGAGCCCAATAACAGATATCAAGGCGTGAGAAACGAGCGGTTCGATGGTGTAGGGGATTGGCTATTGGAAACAAGAGTTTCGGGAGTGGAGAGGTAGTGAGGGTGGGGCTGATGGGGCTATCTTATTCTGTAGCGGGAATCCGGGAGTGGGCAAGACGTATCTAAGGTAAGCGGCGGGATTTTCCAAAAAGAGAGCGAAGATTGCTGACTATAGGAAATACTAGTTCGCTGGTGATTGACAGCCTGTGCGATCAAGCAAGGGGGCAGGATATCATCGTTTCATGCTTCTACTGCGACTTCCTTGCTCAGCAAGAGCAGACTATCACCAACATGATGGGGGCTATTTTGAAACAGCTAGTAGGCAGAGGGGATATCCCAAAGTATCTGCGTGAGGCGTTTCAAGAAGGGAAGAAAGAGATTGGTGGTAGAGGGTTGCGACTTCCGGACCTGATGAGAATGTTGGGGATTGCTATTGCTTCGCTACCCCAAGTTTTCATCTGTATTGATGCACTTGACAAATGCTTGCCGAAGCATCTGCCAAAACTGCTGGAGTCGCTGAGGGGTATTGTTCTGGAGTCCCCTAGTACGCGAATATTCCTCACCGGGAGACCCCATATCAGAGAAGATATTCAAAGATATTTTAGCAAGGCGATTGTGATACCCATCAGCCCTACCATAGATGACATTAGGAGTTATCTGGAGATGAGGTTGGACGAGGACACCGATCCGGAGGCGATGAACGACGATTTACGGGCAGATATTATCAGAGTTATCCTAGAAAAGATATCCGACATATAAGAGCATTTATTTAACATTCCCTCCCTATCATTGATCAATACTCACCCACGATTATGTGTAGATTCCTACTTGTTTCTCTAAACCT